AATAAACCATTCCCTGAGAAGAAATACTGGGAGATTTCCTGGGCCATCCCAAACAATTCATCTCCTAGGTCACCACAAAGGACAGAGTAGTCTCAAGAACACCTCCAACTTGGAGGGAGATTGTCCCCAATGAAAGCCTGGCCTCCAACCCTGAGAAGGGCTCTGTGTCTGTTTCCACCCTCATCCTTCCAGGCAACTCTTGCACATGTGTGCATTATGGTCACCAGGGTAGCTTAGCTTTTTAAAAACGATATAAAATTTGGGGACAGAGGAAAGTAATGGCTCATGCCAGCAAGAAGAGGCAAAATATTGATGGTGCCCTAAGAAATCCACTGAGAAATAACTGTAGGTCTCTGGTGGAGGCTAAAATCATGGGAATCAGAAACCTAATAGACCATTTTCTTTATACCTGAGTACCAGGTGCCTTCTAGTGGCACCTCAGCCTAGGAGAGACATCGGAAGAAGCAAGAGGCCTGAGAAAAGGAGACTGGCTAGAAAGGGGCAGGACAGGCAACAAGCTAGCAGGCACTGCTGGGGGACAGAACAGGCTGGAGAAGGAACATGGTGAGTGGGGCAGTTGAGTTTGCCATTCACACTGTGGACCACACGCTGAGCATTCCAAGGGCCGCAAGTGCAGGCACTGGAGATTTCAGATTCCCAGATTTGGGGAACAAGGAGCAGCTGCTTTCTCCCAAGGCAGCCCAAAGGACAAAGGGCAGCCCAGAAGCCTGGCTAGGTGGGGTTTGGAAGCCTGGAATCTAGAGGTGCTCTCCTCTGCACCTCCACAGCCAGCTCTATCCTCCCTTGGAGCCAGAGGGTGTTAGGCTGCCTATCAAGTGTCCCTTGAATGACTGTTGGACACGCCCCTGGCATGACAACCACAGTGACAAGGCCTCACAATGCCCAAATGCGTGTTGATGGCGCAGAAACCACTCTGCCTGGGCATCACCCATTGGAGCCCTCCCACAACTGCTCAGACCTCTCCTGCTGCAAGAAGAAGCAGATGCGGCAGAGGAGCCGGGCACACTTTATTCTGATATCCTGCCTGGAAAGGCGGGTGGAGCAAGGAGTGCACGGATCACCGTCCCAGCCAGGATGGACTCAGCCTGTCGAGGAGGCCTAGGGAGACGCACATCCTCCCTCCCCAATCTCAGAGCCAAATCAGATGAAGCCCCTGAAAGGCTTGGCTTTGGTCCGTTTTGCTGAACAAATCTTGTTAGCTGTTTCCGCCTTGATGAGGCTGACAGGTATGCCTGCCTTCCCCTCTCCAGGCGGCCACCTCCAAACTGCGGAGGAGCGACAGGCGGCCCTGCAAAAGGCTGCCTAGACCTTGAAGTTCAGAAAAACAAGAGATTGAACTGGCTCCCTCCCTTCTTTGCAGACACACACGCACCATCAGGCAGCCGCCACTTCCTGCCTTTGTTTTTCTTCCTCCAAACATTTTTGGCCTCTTGCATTAGCCGCCCTCGGGCTCCGGGTTGACGATTAAAGGAAATATACGCTGAAGAGTGTTTTCTGGAGATGGCCCCTCGCTGTGGAGCTCTTGTGAAAGAACAGCTCATGGGAAACCATTCGCCCGGGCCAATGTCACAGTCTGGCCTGCCACGGCAGCTTCAAGAAGTGAAACTCGGACTTGGCCTTCTGGGGTGGTCTTAGCCCCAGGGGGGTCTTTCCCAAAGCCAGGTAGGTTCAGCTTGACTGTTGAGCCTCCTGCAAGACAGAAGAGTCAATTAGACTCAGCAAAGTTAAAACCAAGAATTCTGTCTCCCCTTCTTCCCGCATATTTGGTCCAAAGCTCAGAGCAGCGCCCATCCTTTACCCCCACTGGATGCCAGGAGAAACATTCACACCACTAAGTATATTCTGCAAGAGAAAAGCAGGAGCGGGCAAAACTGGGGTCATCGCGCACCCTTGGGGGACCTGAGCACCTCGCGTTTTGTCCCTGCTGGGGGAACTAAAAGCATTCGGCAGCTCCAGGCATTTTCCCTTCTGCTGCCATCAAAAGCCTTTTACCTCATCCATCTTCAGGGCAGCGCGCCCACACACCCACTTCCAGGCTACCAGTCCCTTGGGGCACCCAGCTTCAGTACAGCCTGTCAAATAGTCCTGCCAACCACTCCTAGAGTCCCTTCCTCCGACAGAGCCTTTCCTTGGGAATCCGCCTTGTCGCCTGAAGACGCCCAAGGGATAGAGACCTGCCAGCACCCACTCGCCTTGGCCCTCAAGGAGGACATAGGAGGCAGTGGTTATTCCAGACAGCACACAAGCCCATACTGACCTTTCTGTGAGGACACCCTCTCCTTGGCACCAGAGGAAGCTGATCTAATTAAGTGAGGGGCTGCTTGCAGCTGGGGGAGGTGGCCTGGTGTCCCCCACTGGCGCTGGCAGGCGACTGCGGCCCCACTGCCCAGGCACAAGCTGAAGTTGACTGCCAAAACTGCTATAAAACCACAGGTCTGTCTAGAACTGTTTTCGGTGCTCCTAGATGCCCCCGGGTTCAATTATACTCTTAAAAGCCCTAATACAAGTGCAAGAATTTGTTTGGCTTCACCCAGGGGCGGGGCGAGCCCTGCAATGGTGGCGCCTTTGTTATGGCAAAGTCACTGAAACCCTTCATGCATTCCTTTTGTTCCAGGATGAGGGTGGTGAGGACTGGGTGGGCTGCTGGGAGAGAGTTTGAGATAGTGAAAAATCGAGCCAGGGAACTATTCAAATACAGCTGTTTGAAACCTCTCTTCTATCTTTTATATTCTGTCTCCAAGAAAGACATACTGTGGAGAAACAAATATTTTGCCTTGCTGGTCGCCACTGGAAATAGTTTTTTCACTGCAGGGCAACCCCATACATGTAATTCCCAGCTCTAGGAGGTCCCAAGCTACCCTTCCTCAACAACCTTCTCTCCTACTGGACCTTCTCGCTCATACCGACGCTGCCCTCTATGCAAGCTACAGTGGACAAATATGTCAAGCTGAAGATGCACAAATAATTTCAAATTCAGCTCTCAGAGATATGAGGGGCATGAAAGTTCTTGCAGCAAATCCTGAATAAAGAGTTCATTAAACCAGTGTGTCCAACTGGCTTGATTTGTGATAAGCAATCCTTGTAAAGGGGGAAAGCCATATAAACATTAATGCTAATAAATTAGTTTACTCCACTACAGAGTAATTACTCGATATTACTGATATTTACAATGGGTATTCAAATGCAATGGTGGGTCATTATTTGGAGAAAATACATAATAAGAATATTTCTTTTTCAGTGCAATACATGATTAAATTTGTTACTGAGTCAGTTACAGTCAGCTCAGCAATAAATAAATAAATCAATGTTGACACTTAAACACCAAAGATCTTAGAGTTTATACTCTAAATCTCCTCAAGATATGTAAATACCATTAGCTATTTCCTGAACAAGGAAAGAGTTTTCATTTTTCAGTTTTTTATTTTCCTTCTGTGACACCCCAGCTCCTTCGAAGAACGGTGTTTTGGGGAGGCCCTAGGTCTAGGTCTTCTCCCTGTCCTTGCCTGTCTGCTCTATGCCCTCTCTCTTCTTTCGTTTCCCTCAAATCTCATTGTTCCTTCAATCCTACAGAGTAGTGATGAGCATTATTTTGCCTTCTTAATTACTCTATTTCCTCCTCCTGAGAAGGTAGGTTCACACAAGCCGCTACGACTCTGACTATCTTGAGCACAAACCTAGCCTTTTCAAGGCATCCTTAATTGCCCAAGGTGAGGGAGTTGGAGGTGCACCTCTCTTTTCTTTGGCATTGTGCTCCTTCTCTGGAATGAGTGGCAGGAAAAGACACAGAGCTTTCTGAGTTTCTGCCTGCGCACCCCTTGCTTTCACTCTCTCACTTTGCAAGGAAGAGGAGGCAGATGATCCCTCTTTTAAACCAAGACTCCTTGGCCATGGAGCCCTCTCCTCGCCACCCCCATTTCTCCACAGCCTCAAGCAGCTGGGTGGAGCCCCCCACAAAGGTCCAGCATACCCAGGAGAAAGCTCTTCGGATGTCAGCTCCTCTAAAACAGCCCAAGGCTTGCCTCAATTGCATGGTTTCCCGATTCCTCAGCTCCAGAAGACCAGGCAGACGTGCTGACCAGTGAGCAGGGCGCAGCCCCTGCGCCTCTGGGCCTGCCGAGTCTCTCCGAACCACGGCAGGCAGCGAGGAGAAGGGGGTTTCTTCAAGGACAAGGGGTAGGGTGAGGAGGCGGACGTGGAGCATGAAGGGAAAAGTGGATCCCGGGTAAAACGAACGCCCTTCCGGACCCGTGAATCACTGACAATCCGCGGGGAAAGCCGCCCTGGCTGTTGGCGGTTTAGGGACGGAAGGCACTAAAGCGCTTCGGAAGTGACCATGAATGCCAGCGTGTAATCAAGTCACCGTGCAAATCAGACAAGCCACGAGGCCAGCACATCCACGATTACGAACCCTGGCCCCCGAAAGGGGTCCGGCCAGGGTCTGAGGCTGATGTGCTTCCCAGCGCAACCCTGAGGAGGAGGGCTGGGAAAAAGGGGATGCGACCCTAAGCCTCCAGTAGAACCGACTCCCCGACCACGGGCCACTCAGCTCCGGGCTTCCACCTGGCCACCCCGAGCACACAGTATCCCTCACCCACCCGAGGAGTGGGGTGGGGGCCACGAGAGTTGAGTTTCTCACCGCCCTGGGCGCATTGGAGGGCTGGGTTCGTGCAGCTGAGCAAAAGCGAGCTGCATGGGGGCGCACCCCAGCCTTGCCGCGCGCCGGGAGGCCCCCCAGCCAACATGAGTTACACCGGCGATTACGTGCTTTCGGTGAGAACACCGAGTGACGATCTGTTGCTTCCCCTGAGGTGGCTACAAAGAAAGGAAGCCGAGGAGGGAGGGGAGGGGGAAAAAGGAAAGGGGGGAAAAACTCCCGGACTAGCTCGCAGCTTGTCAATTTCAACATCGGGTCACATGACCAGCACCTCCCTGCTAAGGATGGGGATAGATTTCCACGTCAGCTTACGTCTCCAAATTTCTACTTCACGGATCCGCTTCAAAGAGGCAGCTGCAGTGGAGAATCATGTTAAGCTCGGCTACTGCGGAGAGCCCAAGGTAGCCCAATGATGGATTTTGATGAGCGTGGTCCCTGCTCCTCTAACATGTATTTGCCAAGTTGTACTTACTACGTCTCGGGTCCAGATTTCTCCAGCCTCCCTTCTTTTCTGCCCCAGACCCCGTCTTCGCGCCCAATGACATACTCCTACTCCTCCAACCTGCCCCAGGTCCAACCCGTGCGCGAAGTGACCTTCAGAGAGTACGCCATTGAGCCCGCCACTAAATGGCACCCCCGCGGCAATCTGGCCCACTGCTACTCCGCGGAGGAGCTCGTGCACAGAGACTGCCTGCAGGCGCCCAGCGCGGCCGGCGTGCCTGGCGACGTGCTGGCCAAGAGCTCGGCCAACGTCTACCACCACCCCACCCCCGCCGTCTCGTCCAATTTCTATAGCACCGTGGGCAGGAACGGCGTCCTGCCGCAGGCTTTCGACCAGTTTTTCGAGACGGCCTACGGCACCCCGGAAAACCTCGCCTCCTCCTCCGACTACCCCGGGGACAAGAGCGCCGCGGAGAAGGGGCCCCCGGCGGCCACGGCGACCTCCGCGGCGGCGGCCTCGGCGGCGGCGGCCACTGGCGCGCCGGCAACTTCAAGTTCGGACGGCGGCGGCGGCGGCGGCGGCGGCTGCAGGGAGGCGGCGGCGGCCGAGGAGAAGGAGCGGCGGCGGCGCCCCGAGAGCAGCAGCAGCCCCGAGTCGTCTTCCGGCCACACTGAGGACAAGGCCGGCGGCCCCAGTACGTATAAAGGCAGCGCCCAGCGCTTTATGAAAGGGGAGTTGGAAATCTAGCGCAGCACCGCTGTTAAATTTTTATATGCTGTTTTATAAGCATATAAGGTTTATGAAGGGCCTTTAGGTTTCCCCCAACAAAACTTTGTTATAAAAGGCGGGATCACGTGGCGAGTGCTGAAATTGGCCGTGAAATACCCACCGGCCAAAGCATGCCTGAAAAAAAAAAACCCAAAAAAACCCTCCCTTTTTCTCTTTTTTTCCCTTCTCAGCTCCCAAACCCGGCAGCTCGATCCCGCTCAGGGCCAGCTTCAGGCTGGGGAGCCGGAGGTGGGCGCCTGTAAATTCCCCTGCAAAGGGTTCAGGAGCCTTTGATAGCAAGGTAATCCGGAGATTTTTATAAAAGCCATGTGTTGCGCTGGGACTCCCTTCCCGGCTGGGATTCAAAGGCATCGCTGTTTAATGATGGAGCTAGAAGCGCATTTAACAGATAAGGTAGCCCGCTTAGCTCAAGCAATATATTAAAAGAAACAAATTAACCCAAAGTTGGCCTTTTTGTCGAAAGGAAGCCATTTTCCTCCAGCACGGTGGCAATTACGTGCCGCCTTCTGTCCAACTGCATGTTATTCACAATTGTTATTAAATCTGTCAAAAGCGAATTTTTTTTCTTTTTTTTTTTAAGGGGGGAGCAAGTAGAGCCTGTTTAAAGTTTCAGAAGCCCCCATTCCCTCCACCCTATCTAAAATAGCACCCCTGCCCTGCTAATGGCCCCCTGGCTGTGTGGTAGTGACTCTCAGCAAGGCCAGGCAAAGGGGAATTCTGCTGCCACCTCCCACCAAGAGGGAGCCGGGAGCCTGGCTGCGGGAGGCGAGAGTGAGTGGCTAGCGCTCAGGCTGACAAAGACCCGGCAGCAGCCTCAGATATAAATGAGAGCCAAGAGCCAAATCGTGGCCGCAACTGGGATAGACTGGGGCCAGGGACTGCCTTTCCTGCCTCGCCGTGGGAACAGGCAGCCCAGGTGCTGAAGGTGGAATGTCCCCAGGCGCTGTTTGTTTAGTCTGTCGGGGTGAGAGGGGGCCTGCAAGCCCACTTGGCTGCTTTCAAAGCGGTTTCGGCAGCACAAACTAGCCTGTTGCTGTGAGGAGACCTCCTTTCTGCTCAAGGGGCAGCAGGAGCACCTTCCCCAGGGGCCTGTCTGAGGAGCAGGCTTTTATCTAGGACTGAGCCTCCGGCTGCAGCTTGTCCCCAGCCGGCAGTAGGAGAGCAGGGGCCTGGAGAGACCTTGAGGGGGTTTGAGCTGGGCCTCCAGTCCCTGTGATCAGCTTTTTTCCTCATCTCCGGCCTCTGGGGTAGATTGCAGAACCCATGCCTGGCTCACCCCTTTCCTTTCCTCCTCTATAGGTGGGCAACGCACGCGAAAAAAGCGCTGCCCCTACACCAAGTACCAGATCCGAGAGCTGGAGCGGGAATTCTTCTTCAGCGTCTACATCAACAAAGAGAAGCGCCTGCAGCTGTCCCGCATGCTCAACCTCACTGACCGTCAAGTCAAAATCTGGTTTCAGAACAGAAGAATGAAGGAAAAAAAAATTAACAGAGACCGTTTACAGTACTACTCAGCTAACCCGCTTCTCTAAGGCTCCAGCCAGCTGGAATTGGGTGGGGGGCTCCATACATGTGAAATAATATGCAAATTTTGCCCTTGACAAGGTCAAGCCACATGGTGACTTTTGAAAAAAGGAGGTGTGCAAGAGAGGAAGGCTACATGGAGATAGCCCAAAGGGAGAGGACCTGGGACTCTCTTGGTTAAGATCTCAATGGTTAAGGTTGCTAATAATTGGATTCTGAGCGTTGTGCATCAGCTAGAGTGAATGGTTTGGGATGCCTGGTGGTTCACTCTTGGAGCCCAAGGCACTTCAGGCTGGGTGTGGTCTCCTAGGGGACTAGGCCCTCTGCCAGGGCCTCTGGAGGCCAACCCCCCTCCAGGACCCTCCCCACAGAGCCTGGCCACCCTAGGACTCCTAAGTCAAGAAGCTGTATGCTCTCCAAGCCCAGTTTACCTGGAGACAGGGGCAGAAGGAAAGGTGAGGATTCCTAAATGCCCAGAACGGGGTACTTTTTGAAGCGAGTGTGAAAGGCAGCTGGACTAAGGGGTGGCTGTAAGGTGGGGGAAAGGCTGCAGATCCTGGAGGGAAAAGAAATTTATCCAGAGGGCATGCATGTCTTCCACCCCTCCTAACAACCCTCCACAGTGACCCAGGTCTGAGCTCCTAGCAGCCACTTCCTGCACCCCACCTGGATTTTCTTCCTTCCAATAGGGTCTTCATCCCAACCTGCCACTCAGGCCCAAAGCCTGGCTGCAGATAGGACTGTTTCCTGAGGTTGAAGGCATTGAAAAGCCCAGAGGCTGCACCCAGGCCGCTGGCCCCTCGATCTCTGCAGGAAATGCCTGTGGAGTGCAGCAGTTTGGCAAAGTCTCCACCACATTAATGAAGCTTGGATTTTTGCTCAATGTTGGGCAGTGGGCCTGGCCAGCGGGTCCTCAACTATGGCTATGAGGGGCTGGAGTCCCCCAGTTCCCCGGTTCTGGCTCCACACTCTGCCACCATTGACTCAGAACTGAGCTTGGAAGCTTTCCTGGACCTTCCAAGAGCCCAAGAGTGATTTGGAATTATTTTAAAAGATAAATATTATATTATATATATATATATTTCCCTGAAGGAACCAAAGTGAATTTTAAAAAGATGCAATGTGGGGGGGGGTGATGAAAATATTTAAAGGCTCTATCTGTTTACAGTGGTCCACGGTTAAACTCGCTCACTGCTAAGAATATTTGAATGTACGCTTCATACAGGGATGGTGTTCAAAAGACTTGTAAATAAAGGAACCATAACCTAATTTGTTTGAATACTTTTTTGCCATTAGTTGATTTCCTTTGGGGTGTTGGAGGGGATGGGAAGAGGGTTGAGAATGGTCTTTTTAATCCTTGCCACATTCGGAAATAGTTAGAGGGGAAGCTTGGAGGCAGTTCAACCCGCCAGAACCTGGGGACCTCATTTGGGAAAACTAGGCACCATCTCCTTGAATCTCTTCTGCCTCCCAGTGTGAAGAAAGGTCTGGTGGCTCTGCGTGTCATGGAAGTGTTGGCCTGTCCCCGGTTCTTACCCACCTTGTGTGTTCTATACAAGAGACAGGGCACAAGGAAAATAAAGACAGTGGAAACTTGAGTATTGGGTCCTGGTGTGACATTCCTCTCCCTGCTTGCCTTTTACTGCCAAATGTCTCCCCTCCCCACATCCTTTTACTAGCAAAGAGGCAAGTTACCAGGCCCCTGAGGAGTGAGGCAGTGACTGACTCAGGATTTAGTGACAACAGAGGCCAAGCTTAAGCCAAATTGGTTGGCCATGTTTTTGTGGAAAGTAGAGTCCAGGGGGTGGCATGCCTCAGGGCCTAGAATGTGGGACTTCATCCTGTCCCACTAACCTTAGCCCTGCAGAAGGCCTTGGGGCCTGAGGTGGCCAGAGTCTGACCCCAAACTGCCCTTGCTCACCTCTGGACTGGGAGGCCTGAGTAGAACCCTTCCGGGGTGCCCTGTGGATCCCTTCAGCAAAGGGGGATCTATCTGGGTACCAAGGCAGAGCAGATCTTCAGGATCCTCTAAGTGGCTTTCTCCTCAGCTCCCAGCTGAGGCAGCATTTTGCCTTGGGGGAAAGAAAGATGCCGGTTTCCTCTTTGTTTGCTGCCTTTGAACTTCTGCCTTAAATTTGGACATCACCCATAACCTTGAGGGGCAGGGCGGAAAGGACAGAGCCTTTTGTTTTTTGTTGCCCACCCCACCCTCTCTCCAGCCACCCAGGCAGGCCCAGAGCAACAGAGAGGGTCGCATTTGAAGAGAGGCCCCAGACCCCTGCTCTGTTTATTTGTTTGTGTGTTTGTCTAACTGGTGCGACAGGGGAAACCGAGCTGAAAGGGGAGCGAGACGACCCCAGATGAATGTCTAGTGTGATAGACACACAGAAACGCACAGGAGCCCTCCTGGGGGGCCGGGAGGGGGCGGGCAGGGAAGCCCAGGTTTAAGGAAAGACTTCCTTTGGGATGGTTAAAGATTAACCAAACTCTCTCAAGTTGCTAGAGAGAGTCCAGCCAGGAGAACTGCTCTCCGACGGGCGGCGGGCGGGCGCGGGTTTGATTTCTGAGCCCTATAAAAGCCCGTCCTCAGATGGCTGTGACAATGTGGTCGTAAACCCGTCCAGTGCGGGCCAATTTGCATATTTGGAATGCGCCGCTATAAACCCGGCTGGGGTTTTGCAGCAATTTCTTGGATGTAAAAATGAGATCTCAATAGCAGCGGGCTGGGTACATTCTCTCCCTCTCTCCCTACCCGGACACGGCTTCCTTCTCTCGGCTCCAGGCTGGAACTCCGGCCCGGCCTAGGCGCGCAGCCGCCACGAGGTGGCGCACTTCCGATCAATGTCAAAGCCGCCGGGGAGCCGGGAACCCCAGCGTGATTCTTGGCCTTTGTTCGCTTCTGATACTAAGAGCTGCACGGTACATTGTTTCACTTGTCCCGCTCCCCTTCGTATCAAAAAGGGGGAGCTCACGCTCAAGAAGTAGTTGGTGTTGTAATTTAAAGCAGCTCGCCTTCGCTGGCCTCGCGGGCGTCGCGGAGTGGAGAAGCCAGCTGCCCCTTGGCAGTGATTTCGGGAATGTGTCAAGGTAAGAGGCCGCAAGTTTAGCAGTTTTACCGTGGTAGGGGTTGAGGGGGTAGCCGATGTCTAAGCAGGGGTCGAGGACGTACCTGGGCTTGTGGGGAGACGCGGTAGGAGTCTTCCCCGTGCCCCCCCCCCCCGCCCATCTTTCCCGAAGGTTGGAAAGCAGAGGGAGGCCTGGGTCGAAAGTTGTGGACTTCAGCTGCTTGTGCCGGCATTTCACCCAAGGCGACCGTTGTATTTTGTGGAAATACTTAAAATAGACTGCGCTGGGGGAGGCATCCAGGCGACAGCGTTCCAGCTGTGCTGGGATCGGAGGTAGTGGGGAGAGAAAGGTAGCAGGAAAGAGAAGTGGCAGGACTGGAAGAAAAAAGAAAGTTTCTCCTCAAAACAATGGGGTGGTCGGCACGCGTGGCCCGCCGGAGCGGAGCGGGCTGATTGCCAGGGGCAGGCAGCGGGAGCTCGCTGGTTTCCTAATAGGTGCGAATCCAGGTCTGCCCGGCAGCCTAGGAGAAACCTTTGTTCCCAAAAAAGGCCAATTGGGAGAAGTCGCATTTGATTTTTGAGGCTGCCAGAGAAGCCTTCGTATGGCCCATTTGCAATGTGCCGTTGTAAACCGGGCTGGGTTTTGCCGAAATTTCCTAGATGTGAAAGTGACATCTTTTGCATATTTTGCAGACACTCAAAATTGTATTGGTACCTAGCTATACATTTTCAAAGGCAGGATGAGGGATAAAGTCCGATCAAGCAGTCATATCTTCAGGATTGTAATTTTTTTAAAGTTTTAAATGATCAAAATGCCAACAATTTGGAAGCCAGATTAAAATTCTGTCTCCCGGGTTTAAAAAAATTTTCAATATCTTTTCATTAGTTTCTTGAATTAGTTATTTTCTTTTCCCAAATATATAGTATATGAGTAAAGGGAATCTCAAAGAAAGTAAGTGCTGCCTCTGTGTGCACACATGTATAAATTTTGCTTATCAGAATCACCAGTCTTTGTTGAGCCTGGGCTACCAAACTATGCCAGCAAAGGGCAACCGTAGGAAGGAATGAGCACCCACACCAAGAGCTGCTCCCTGTAATCCCAGAGTCGCCTCCAGCTTCAAGGCCGGAAGCTGTTTGTTATGGACAAAACTAAGAATATTACAATTCAAAGGTTGTGTAAAAAGGCCCAACACTCACCGCCCCCCCAAGGGGAGCAGGGATAACTCAATGATTGGATTCAGAAAAATTTAAAAGCTTGGTTAAGAATAGATTGTACCAGGCCGGGGATTTAGCTCAGTGGTTCTGCTGCCTGCCTCACAAGCGCAAGGACCTGAGTTTGATCCCCGGTACCAAAAAAAAAAAAAAACCAACAAAAAAAGAACAGATTGTACCAGGGGGCTGAGGATTTAGCTCAGTGGTTCTGCTGCCTGCCTCACAAGCGGAAGGACCTGAGTTCGATCCCCGGTAACCCCCCCCCCAAAAAAAAGAAAGAAAAAAAGAATAGATTGTACCAGATCAGTTACAACCAGACACAACTATCCCCAGAACTGTTGACTTTCTCAAAGATGAACAGGAAAAGAACTGCATTATTTATGGAAAATCTTTCTAGTTATGTGTAAATTCATAAATCGGGAAAGCCCTGAATTTTTGTTAATGCCAGATATGAGGAGGCAACATTAATTTTTCCTCTATGAGGCCACAAAGCCCGACCCCACAGCCTGCTGGATAATTTGGAGCCCAGAAAGCTTTAAGAATGACCTCTAGTACATATTGCTTACTGGCTATCTCAATCTTGAAACCGTTTTGTTTGTTTGTTTGTTTTCTCTTGAAAAAACCACACACAACTTGTTTTTCATAGTAACAATTTATTTCATATCATTTGCAAGGGCCTGCTGAAAGAAGGGTTTGCTTCTAGTGAACTGCATAGTAATATTCCCCACACGGCTTGCTAGTTCTATAGGCCTGGCATTTACTTCAGCTCCATGGACTGGGTGTTATCAGAACCAGGTAGAAACAGGCAGTATTTATTGCCGAACAAAACATAGGCTCTGGCGGCAGTGTAATTACTGCATAAGCCTGGTTGAGGCCAGCAGGCACCGAGGGCTTTGGGTGAAAGGCATTCTGAGAGAGAGAAAAGAATTTAGTAGCTAGAAGGAAGGGTGAAAGGGAAAGAAGGCAAATGGGCAAGAGGAGAGGGAGTGGACAGAAGCTTACCAACGCTGCAGTTGAATCGTTGAATCACTTTTCTTCATCTCTTGGGGATGGGAAACCTTGGGAAAAGCCAAGGAGATCAATAAATGGACTATTTTACTGAGGAGGCTAACACCTCCTTTTTATAGTCTAGGCAGGCAGGAGCCTTGGGGCCATTCGGGATGCTGGGGGCTCCAGACCAACTGAGACAGCTGAGGAGGCTGTTTAACTTGAGCTTCTGCTGCATCATAGCCTCTCGTTTGAAACAGCCGTTGCAGGCCAGTGCTGCCTGAGCATACTGCAGGCTCTCAGCAAGTACTGGTGGGGGTGGGACAGTGATCTTGAGCCAGAGAAGTGTACACATTTTTTTTTAAGCAAGAAAGAGCACAAATTCAACATCCTTTTTGCTTTATTGCAAAGAATGGGAGAGTCATACTGCAAAAACACATCTGGCCCTCCACAAAGGTCAGTGAAGACCCAAGTGCCAATGCCACGGTCTGTGATGCTAGTAACAGGCCTTCCAGCTCCTCCACTCTTTAACATGGTTGGCCTTTAGTACCATGCTGACTCTTGTAACCTTGGATGGCACAGGCAGACTCCTGGATCCCAGTCAGCGGAGAGGTCTATTTGGCTGTCCTATTAAGTAAGGCCCCGGACAGAATGGGCCTGAAGTGGCCTGCATCAGGGTGCCCAGCTTGTCTTATCAGCCAAATTGGCAGGGCTCTTGAGTCCCAGGAGAGTCCCGGATGTTCTGAAGAGTTCAAGGAGAAGCCTTTGAGGGGTTAGTGAAGTCCTGGAAAATGATGGGTTGAATTGTGGGAATGCACAGATATGCATTTTTCACAGAATAAGTCAGAACTTGCCTTAGGTTTTCCAGCACTCTAAAAGGTTAAGAAAGACAGGTTTACATCATTTTCTTCCATTTTATTTTTGTAGCTTCCATCATCTCACACTTTCCAATGGCCG